TACTAGGACGGCAACCCACCATGCGAGCTCGGCGAGGGCTTGACGAGGTATGCGGCGTCTTCCTGCGAGCCGAGAGCGACGAGTGCAGTCGTACAGCCGGCGCAAAAAGGCCTTGCCGCAAGGAAAGACTTGAGAGACGAATTGTAGCAGGCCGGCGATGCGCTGCATGTCGAGCAGATCGGCCGTCTGGCGGCTGAGCAGTGTGCGGCACCGGGCGATGATAAGGGCGCGGCGCTCTGGCGTGACTCCCACCGTTTGCGCTGCCGAGTCGATCTCGACGCCCAGAATCTCAAGCCGAGTCCGGTTGGCGAATGTTTTCTTGGGCGAAAGGCGCAAGCCCAGAGCTGCGGCGGCAAGAGCGAGGACCCGGACTGGCCAAAGTGCCAGCGCGGGCGTCTCGGCTGGCACAGCGCCGAAGGTGTCGTCGAGATAGTGGTTGATGGGCCAGCTGGGTGGTAGGCAGGATGCCACGACCCAGTGGAGGAATTCGGCTGCCAGGTTGAAAAGAAACGGCGAGCTGCTGCCGCCAAAGGTGAGCGCGTTCTCTCGGTAGCGCACGCCACCGTACTGGAAGCCGAGCAAGTGGGCGTCCGGCTCCGCGGTGACGACGTGGCGGAAAGCGTCCTCGAGATCGCCTTTCCAAAGGAGACAGTTGGGGTTGGCACGCACAAAGTCGACGAGCTGGCCGATCGATTCGTACTGGATGCATACCATGGCTGGGTTGATGCTGCTATTGACAGACGGCAGCGTGGCGCCCGTCGGGCGGCGAGGGTGGGAAAGGTGATGGATGGTTCGGAGCTTCGTTGAGCGCGGCTTTGGCACGACGCCGATAGGCGACTCAACTAGGGGCTGGTTGCGTCCGACGATGGTGAGGCGGCCCTCGGCCAGGCGCGCAGCGATCTCGCGACGTAGGTGGGTGTGGCCAGCGGCGTCGATGGGGAGGTTGGCGGCGAGGCGGTTGCTGTGGCGCAGCGGACCGTCGTACCCGAGAAGGCAGCCATGCCGAATCATGCCAGCCATCTGCTGGCAGAAGCGCTCATCTGGGTAGTCGAGGAGGAGGCGCTCCCAGGCTGGCAGCTGCGCCTGCATCGAGCCTGCTCGAGCAGGGGTGCTGGCCGGATCGAAAACGTCGAGGGCCATCGTGGTGTTGGGCCGAGGAGGGGGCACGTGCTGTCGAAGAGCGAGGAGAAGCGAGAGGCACCGGTCAGCTGATGGGACATCGAGAGCTGCCGGGACCGAAGTGAGGGGCCGGGCCTGAGTCTGCCACGGAGACGAACGAGAGGGGGGACCATCGAGGTCAAACCGAGCCTGAGTCTGCTGCGGAGACGGGAGAAAAGAGCGACCATCAAGGTCGAGCCGAGCCTGAGTCCGCTGCGGGGACGGAAGAGAAGGGCCGACAAGGCCAGGCTGGGCCTGAGTCTGCCGCAGAGACGAGGAGGAAGGGGACTGGGCTTGAGTCTGCCGCAGAGACGAGCCCACGAGGTCGAGTGGGCGAGGAGGCCAAGGGGTGGGACTCACCGAGGCACCTAGGCCAGTTTCTTGACGGCTGCTGGCTCGAGACATGCCTGCACTATGTGGTTACCTCTGCAGCGGATGCAGATGTGGGACCGCGTACACTTGCCGTCCGAGCAGCCGCCCGAGTTGAAGCGGAAGCAGACCTGGGCAGATGCGTCTGCGCGCGGGCGTATCTGGCCGGCGGCAGGTGTGGTGTTGGTCTGCGCAGGCGAGGCGGCGTTCTTGGACGCTGCTGGCTTGGCAGAGGGGATGGGACGCCGAGGAACACCGCCGATGTCCTTCTGCCACGCGGCGATGTCCTGCTCGACCCAGACGCTGGCGGTGGCGTGACCGAAACGATGCTGGCAGACTGTGAGCAAGTACTCGGCGACGGTGGACCAGAAGTACTGCGTGTCGAGGTCGATGATGTGCACCAGAAAAGCGCTGAGGCTGGCGGCGAGGTGGGGGTCGCTGGCGCTGGTGGAGCGAAGAGCGGTGTACACGGACCAGGCTTGGGCAAAGCTGCGGACGTCGGGAACGAGGCGCAAGAAGGCGCGAGAGGAGAGGTCGGAGGAGGAGGGCTCGGGCACGCCGACGCGGACGCCGTTGACGATGACGCCGAGTTCGCGCTCTGGCTCGCTTGCGGTGGTGTTGTGGGCCGGGTTGCGGAGCTTCCCGAGCTCGTGGGGTGGAAGGCGGTCGTCGTAGACCTGCTGCGCGAGCTCGCGAGAGATCCAAGGGAACAGGCGGCGAAGCTGCAACTCACCGGAGGCTGGAGCCGAGGCAAAAGGCGTCGGTGCTGGAGGAGGCGCGGTCGGGGGCGTCAGGTCTTGGCGGAGTGCGAGGACTAGCTGTCGGATTTCGGCGACGGACTCTGCGAGCTGAGAGACGGTGTCAGCCTGCTCGTCAAGGCGGGAGTGGGCGGAGGTGTCGGTCAGAGGCTGTGAGGGTGCGGGGACGACGGCGTGTGCGAGGGAAGGGCGGATAGTGGTACCAGAGAGGTTGGCTCAGGTGCAGGAACAACCGGAGAGGCGGCGGATGTGTCCAGAGCGGGCGCAGATGAGGTCGAGGGGGCTGCTGCGGTAGTGCTGGAGGCCGGTAGCACCGCTGGAGCAGGTGTGGCGACCGAGAGAAGGGGTGCTGGAGCCTGGCGTCGGCAAGCCGCACAGCGGGTGCAGCGGCGATTGCCCCGGCCAACGTAGTGGTTCTGCGCAAAGAAAAGACCACAGGATGAGCAAGCCCGCTCAAGGGCCATGACGGAAGGGATCGGCAGCTGAAAATGAGCAAGGAGCGAGTGCGTGCTAGCCACGCGCTCGCCAGAAGAAAGGATGATGGAGGCAGGAAGGAAGAGAGTGCCGCAGCGGCGGCTGAGTTTTAACTCAGCCGCGCGCGCGCGCTCAGATCATCCCGCCCGTCACGTGATGCATGCTTTTGAGCTCATTATGTGACTGTGCTGCACATCATTTCTTGACTGTGCTGTGCATCATTTTTATTCACCTCATACTTGCACTCTACAGAAAAACACTCAGAAATGACTTTGCATTGAGACCAGATGATGGTACATGTAATGCTACAAGACAGGAAGATTGAATGAAGAGTCTGTGTTGTTGTTGTTGCTGGTGTTCTGACAAGTGTCCTGTTTGATGCTGGCCTGAGAAGCAAGGAGGTGCACCATCTCCATCACCATTTCATGATCACATGCACAAATGCATTCATCATGCTCTTTCTCCTCCCTCTTGTGATGCATGCACATCTCCTCATGCTTGGTATGCTCAGCCTCCAGTAGTTTCTTGCATCTGGTGCATTCCTGTTCAAGCTGCAGGCAGATCTGAAGGGTATCAATGGAAGAACAATAGAAAGCTTCAGCAAGTGTATTGCACTTGTGATCAAGGGCACCTTGCTTGTGCTTGGTGCTGGGAGAGAGCTGGGCTGAAGATTGAGAAGAGGTGGAATCAAAGACATCCAAGCTGCCAGCAGTGGAGGAAGGTGGTTGAGCCTGCAAAGGTGGAGGTGAAGGTGTGTTAAAGATGTCATCATCACCAGCGCCAGCCACAGATGCACCAGAAGTGGATGCAACAGCAGCCAGGGGGTTGGTGGGTTCCATCAAGTTGAGAATAGGAGGTAAACCATGGCTGTGAGCACTGTGATTGTACAGCTTGCTGCCACAAATATCCATGGGTATGTCAGCTGAGCTGTTTGAAGGCATGTCAACCTTGTCATCGCTGGTGAAGTTGAGACTGGGAGTTGTGATAAGTGCTGTGGGATCAGCATAGAATTGGCCATTCATCATCTTGTGCATCCTTTCAAACCAAGCATACTTTGTTGACAGGGCAATGTGAGATATGTAGGACTGTTTAAAATCAAAAGTATGAATCAGCATCCAAGCATACTATTGCAAGCAATGAAGATTGCCAAAACTTACTGGGTTGGATGCATCCATGTCCTCCAGCAGCATACCAGCTCCAGTGAGTGAAAGCTTCTTCTTCTCCCTGTAGTATGTCTCTAGCAGCCACCTCAGCTTGGACTTGATGCAATTGGGATTGACAGATGTGCCTGGGAAAATCATCTTGGAGATCTCCTGAAAAATGGGATGTTTGCGAAGTTTGAGGGCTGGATCACTCTCAGCCAATTCTCAAGATGGCAGCAGAGCATGCTGGTAGGAGTTGCTGTTGTAGAGGATTGTGACAAGGTGAAGAACATTGGCACCCAACCATGTGAAATTCTTCTTGCCTGTGGCAGATCTAGAGGCTTGAGTTGGACAGGAAGTGCAGATGTCAGGAGTGCTTGTAGAACCAGATTGAGACAGTGCAGGCACACTTTCAATGTGAGTTGCAGAGGTTGTAGGTGTAGAGGACTGGCATAACAACTCTGCAGAGATGTCACCAGAATCATCAGTGGAGGAGGTCATGTTGAATGAGTGCAAGGAAGAGGGAGTGAGCAAAAGTGCAACAAGACTGAGCAAAAGTGCAACAAGAGTGAGGAAAGGAGAGAAGATGTGGAGTGATAACCATTCCGCATTTTCACAATAGTGCCTCCTGAGCTGCATTTTTGAAAATGGGTTTTTTTTTTTTTTTTTTTTTTTCTTTGTGGAGCTTATGTAAGCTTTTGCGTTTTTTTGAAAAATGCGCTCTTGAAAAAACCCGGGTTTTTAAAAACGCAAAAACTTTGATACCCCCTCTAGGGGTTTCAGTTATCTCTGAGTTTTCATGGTTTTTTTGGATTTTGAAAACTCACTGCTTAAGTAAGCTCTGCCAGGAAAGAAAAGCTCAGAAGTTTTGAAAACCTCTACTTATTTTTGCCATGAGCCCAGGTTTCTGACTATTTGAGTTTTCAGCAGGAGTTTTTGTCATGTGCTGATATCATGTGATTCTAATACAATTCTGCACACAACCCTTGAACTCCACTTTCTGCACTGTCTACACTTTCTCACACTTTGAGTTACATCTGTCCTTGCTTCACTTCTATCACCATCTCCAGTAGCATTTCCTCCCTGTCAGTGCCAGGACATGGACATGCCATCCCCTCATGACCATATCAACAACAATACACTATTCACAGCTTTGCAGCAAGCCTCTGGATTGGCTCCAGCATCAGAGCAGTCTTCAACTGCTTCACAGCACAACACAATGCCAGCTCAGTCCAACCTTGATGGCTCTCATCAGCCCCACCCTTCTGCAACTTCCAGCACCTTGGCTGGGGCTGAGTCAACTCAGCCAGCAACCTCTCCCACTTCCCCTTTGTCCTCCTCCACTCCTTCTGGCTCCAACACCACCACATCTGCCAGTTCTTTGCCTCACCAAGCCTCTACCCACCCAACTCAAATCTCTGCAGCTTGCAGCCATCAAGCCAGTACTCGTGGCAGCAGTTTCAACAACACAGATCATATTGCCTACTTCAATTGGTCACCTAGTGACATAAATCACCTTGTTGATATCATCTACAATAATGATCAATACCAACATGTTCTATTGCCAGGACATTTGACTGTGGAACAGGAAAAGGGTCTGAAGACAAACAAAGATGTTATCTGTGGGCAGATATGGCAGGATCTGTTCCCAGACAAGTCTACTGTTGGTGGTGCTGGTCAAGTAAAGACTAAAATTTGCTGGCTCACTGAACAATACAACAACATCAAGAAGACCATCTCACAGCAGACCAGTGCTGGAGTACTTCTTCAAGACATGGATCACAACAGCTCGGTAAGTACAACTTAGTTGATTCATGTTAAGTGTGCCAATGTTCTTATACTTTATATCTCTGTCTATGCTTCTTTATCAACTTGCAGGACTATGCCACATGTGAATTGATTGCTCAAAGCCACCCTTGGTTTGAGCACTGGCACAAGATGATGACCAACCATGCACAGACTGGTCCAGTTGTTCTTCTCACTGGTCACCCATATGATGCCCCCCCTGCCTCCTCTCAGAATAACTCAGTTGATGCCAATGTGAACATGGATGATGCCAGCAATGCTCTCTACCCTCAGTGACACAACATTCCTGGCATGGAATCCATTCTTGAGGAGTTGCAATATGATCCCATTGGAGCAAGAGTTATCTTGTCTTTTTCTTCTTTGGTTGCAGCCACCCCAGCTGCTGCTTCATCTTCATCCCACTCACCCTTCTCTTCCTCATCCACCCATCTTTGATTGGCCCCACCCCCTTCACCATTACCCCTATAGACACTCCAACCTGCCAGTGCTCATCCAGCACCACTTTTGGGGCTGATGAAGTGGATGATGGTGATGATGGCTCTGTTTTCCATTCTCCAGCCACAGGTACAACACCCAAGAAGTTTCAACCCTCCCCTTCCAAGAGCAAGCAAGAAGTGCTGTCAGAAATTGTGCAGGCCTGCACCCAAGACACACTTCAGGCAAGAATCAAGGTTGAGGAGGAATGCATGAAGAGGGAGGAAATGCACATTCAATTTGCCAGGGAAGAAAGTGAGAGACAAGAGTGCATGCAAACTGAAGAGCATGGTTGGCTCATGGAGATGGTGCAGATGATGAAGCCTAATCTACCCTTTGGCAACATCGCTGGAAGTAGTCAAAGCAATCTTGAACTTGACCCACTGGTTCATGCCATGGATCAGCAGGACAACAGCAATTCAGCTTGTGAGTAGACCATTTGGCAAGAATGGTGTTCCTTTCAAGTTCTCCAAGTTCTGTTCCTGTGTTTCTGACTTGTTGTATGATTGCTCTCTCTAAAGCTAGCTCTCAATATGTTTGACTAGCATACCCCATACCCAGTCTTCCATGTAATCTCTTGAATGTAGATTGCTTCAATGTGATGAATTGTTCCACATAAAAGATGCTGATTGGTGTAAGTGCAGAAGAATAATCTTGGGGGAGGAATGCTGCATGTAGCCCTGGTTCCGAGCATGTGTGTTGCACAGAACTCAGCTGAGTTGTGTTTGTAGCTTTGGACTCTCTTTTGGACCACATCATCCTTGTTCAACTGAACTCATCAATCATCAATCTCCTATTTCTGGCCCTCTACTTCAACCATGGTGCACACTTCCAACAAACAGCACCTCCTGGACAACATTGAGACTGCCATCATGCACTCATTGATGGTGGAATTCAAGATGCAACTTGATCTGATGGATGTCAATGCCACTTGGCACCCTAATGATGACCTTGAAGAGTCTGATGATGACATGTTTGATCATGCTGTCTCATTCATGCTCATCAGGACTTATGACATCATCAGCCAGTCTTGATACACAGTTGAATGCCTTCAACTGCCACAACAAAGGGATCCCCTCATCAACATGCTTGATCAATATGCTGTCATCAACTGCAAGCTCTTTCTAGGGGCTGTTTGCATGACCCCAGATGCATTCCAAGCTCTAACTTACAGACTCAGCACAACCAATGCCTTCAGATCAATATCAAGCTTTTGGCATGTTCAACAGCAAGTGGCAGTTGGTCTATATTGGCTTGGATGGTCAGGAAATGGTGGTGGAGTTTGTGATGTTGCATTTGCCTGTGGTTGCAGTTGGGGCTCAGTTCATGAGTGGACAGATAGGACTATTGCAGGCCTATACAAGCTGAACAGTGAGGTAGTAACCTTTGCAACTGAAGATGAGTGTGCTAAGGCAAAAGCATGGGTTGCTGATAAGAGTGGAGTTGAGGAATGGTCTAGAGGATGGTTGGTGGTAGATGGTATGCACATCAATCTTGCTTGGAAGCCAGCACTCAATGCTTGTGAGCATTACTCATACAAGGGTGATTATACATTCAACATTGCCCTTGTCTTCCTCCCTCATTCCTTGCACATTGTTGAGTTGGTGGTTGGACATCCTGGGTCATCACATGATGCATGAGTCTGGGCTTCAGGCAGTGGTATTGTTGTGGAGCCTCATTTGCATCTTGATGAAGGTGAGTTTGTCTGGGTTGATGCTGGTAATGGCTACTCCAGCTACACAGTTGGACCATACAGCAACACTGCAGTAGCAAAGAGCAGAGATCTCCACTACTTCAACTATTCACTCTCCCACATTTGTGTCAAGGCTGAACATGGCATTGCATACCTCAAGAACTGCTTCCAATGTCTCATGGGATTTTGAGGCAACCTGTATTGAGAAGAGGACTGTCAGCGGTCGCGCGCCTGAAACCTGAGATCGGTAGTTGTATCAATACTATTACCAATTCTGTCGAGTTATGTGACAGCACTTGTGGTATTGCAATTCTTCACGAGATATGCAGTAGAGCTGTCTCTATTACTTTTCTCGCTCGAATCTGTAGTTGTGATGATGCTATTGCAGATTTCGACTGACCACTGTCAGACACTCCATTCAGAGGTAGCTCGGCATGATCAATAACTTATGCGAACTCGCTGGTGACACCAAAGGTCTGGTGTGAATATGGATTGGTGGCGTCAACACAAGTGTCCAGTGTGTCGACTATGCTTGAGGTGATCCCCGGACCGCAGTGGACGACTGCCTTTGGTTCTATCGAGATCTGGACTGCTGGTTTGCTAATAACCACCTTCGGATGTCAGGAAACAGTGATGCAACACATGCACTTCGATGAGGAGCAATCTATTGATTGCAACTTATGCTGACTGAAAACTAATGAGTACTTGTGTTTCTAAAGTATTGACTAGTTGTATGGTGAGTGTAGAGTGGATGAGGATCCACTTGACCATTTGTGACGAGGAGGTAGGACTATATACCTCTTCGCAGCGTCACCAGCGACACTGCTCCTTCTCCCTCTCTCCAGAGGGTACCCTCTTCGTCGAGTACTGCACAGGGATCTCCAAGGAGGCACCTCCTCCATATCAAGTCTTGTCCCTCCTGTCTTTCCTGAGCTGTGTCGACTTCATTGACACTGCTCCTCCTCTTCACATCCCTTTCACCAGTGTCCTATACACAGATCTCCTTCCTTTGACTGGCAATGGTTCTCTTCTACTCCTGTCCTGTGGGCCCCTGAGTGGTAACCAACCATGTGTCGCTGAGCTCGGTCCCCCTCGCATGTGAATTGTCATACAGACATCCTTACTACCGATCTCCATGGAATCTGCCACATGATCTTGCTTGCTGCAGATTCTGGTGGGATTTGTGATATCGATGATGCTTGTGCCGATTTCGCTGTGGTCTGCCATAGAGCTGGTTCTATTGCTGATCTCGGTGAACTCTGTCACAGCTCCTATGATCTACCCGATTCCATGATTCCTGCACTACCTTCATATGAACTTTGGTCTTTCCTCGTTCTGTGCACCCAGGCCCATGACAAGGACCATGAGAAAGCTGCACATACAGTCCAGGCTTGTATCATTGCACATACATTTGCAAGCCATTATGATTGACCAGATGAGGTGGCAGAATACCTTAAGGCATCAGAAAATCTATCTGAAGCTGAAGTGCTGGAGACCACATCACAGATGGAAGCATATCAGCAGGCTACCAAAGATGCAAGGATACAACAAAGGGAAAACCAGCAGCAATACAAACAGGAACAGGCTGCTGCCATGGAGGGCATGTCTCAGAACCAAGTCCAGAAGTTCAGGCAGGAGAAAGCATTGGATCTTAGGGAGGAGATGCTCACTGCACTCTTTGCTTCTCAGGGCTGCCCTTTTGAGGACACAACAGCAGAATCTCAAAGGATGGGAATGACAACATTGGCCTTCACCAAATGGCAGGAGAGACAAAACTGATGGCATGAGGCTTACAGAAGACAGCAATCAGAACAGGTGTGATGTAAGCTTTTTGCTTTAGCTTTTCAATCAAAGGTTTTGGCATTATTCAGTATAGTGTTCAACAATGTCTGATATGATCACTTTGATCTTGACCTGGTGTAGGGAATCAGCAATTGCCTTTACCTGCTGAGTCAAGTGAAACTCCATGATGCAAGTATCACAGGCCTGTGCAGTTTCTTGGGGCATCAAAAATTGGGCCCAAACATATTTTCAAAGTATTGTGTTTTCAAAACTCAGAGAAAACTGAAACCCCCTACTTTGACTGTGATCGGGCTCCGCACTTGGTGTGAATGCAGAAGCGAAGCAGCTTGAACGCAGTTTGCAGCCAAAAATTTCGGAAGTCTAACAAACTGGATCTCGAGAATCGGCTTTTCCGAAGATCAAAGTCGCAGCGCAGTTTTGGTCAAGATGCTGCTCCACCTCGTCACAAAGCCACAGAAGGTGATACACTTCCGCTCTACAACCATCACCTCACCTCTCCTGATCAATCACTGACCTTTCCAAGCTCGTGATCTGCACAACAGTCTCGTTCAGGCCGACATCGCATCATATCTAGGCTTCATACGACTCATTCGCTTTTCTGTCGTCACGCCTTCTGCCGCACTTCCTGCGTTCCCGCTACCCTTTCGACTAAAAGCCCAACATGGCGGACATCGACGGTACGTGCTTCGACAGCCTCACACTCAGCCCCGCCCTTCCATCAGCTACTCCCCCTTTCCTGTATCCGACGTGACGTGATCATTCAGCCTCTTGCGCATCTTGACTGTATCTTGTCGGCACTGATCCGCCCACACTGTCGCCACGCCAGCCCTTCAATTGCTGCCATATGTACAGGATCGGCCAGTTCCGCACCTTTCAGCCTTTCCAGAGTTGTTCACTGCAGTTGGTTTCTTCGGACTTGCCGCTCGAGATCACCTGCCATTCTCAGCATCACTACTTTCTGCACTACGATGGCAGCTCTGTTGGCCCTGTTGCACGTTCCCTTGCTCTATCGTGCCAGCTCGTTCGCGTTTCCCTCTGTCTCTCTCCTGTCACCATTTTGCGTCGTCTCCACTCGCCCTCATCACATTCACATCCACCAACAATTATCACTTACGCCCGAGATCACTAACTTTCAACCCCGCACGTTCACTTTTTGCCATTCGACTCAGCAGCACAGCAATGGAACGGCGACGCCGCCCGTGACGCCGCCCGAGAGACCGACAATGCTGCCTGGAACGGTGGACGAAGCCCTTCACCAAGGGGCGCTGCCACTCCTCCCCGCCGTGAACGTGAGCGATCTCGCTCTCCTATGCGCACTGGCGACAATGAAGACCGCAGCAACCGGTATGTCTCGCCCCTTCTGATCTCAAGGCCCTCCGCACATCTGCTGACGCTTTCCCATCACCATCTTCTGGTCATTGTCATTTCCGCATTGCCTACAGTGGAGGCCGCGATGCTGGTGACAACAACCCAGGCAACAACCTTCACGTCTCTGGTCTCAGCAACCGCACCACCGACCGTGACCTCGAGGATGCGTTTGGCAAGTACGGAGCTGTATGTATCCTCCCAGAACTTTTTCGCCATCACTCGCTAAGATACCTGCGCAGACCGCTGACTCTTCTCTACCTGTTCACATCGCTTCATCACTCGCCTACACAGATCGAGAGGGCTCAGGTGATGTACGACCCACACTCTCGCGAGCCAAGAGGTTTCGCTTTCGTCACTTTTGTCAAAGCTGAGGACGCAGAAGCTGCCATTACGGCCATGAACGGTACTGAATTCCTTGGGCGCAAGATTACCGTCGACAAGGCTCGACGTGGACGTGCTCGCACTCCCACTCCCGGTCGCTACTTTGGTCCTCCCAAGAAGGGTCGTGAAGGTGGACCTCCCGGCCACTACGGTGGAGGTGGATACGGGCGTGGCCCTCCTCGCGGTGGATACGGCGATGACCGATACGGTGGCATGCCCCCTCGTGGAGGCGGTTACCCTCCCGCATACCCCCCTCGCGACCCATATGACCGATACGGACCCCCTCCTGGCGGTCGTCCCTTCTCTCCGCCTCCCATGCGTGGTGACCCTTACGACCGCTACGGTCGCGGCCCACCCCCAATGCGTGGAGACTACCCTCCTCGCGGTGACCGCGACTATCTCCCTCCACCTCCCCGTGGCGGTCCAGGCATGGACTATCCTCCTCGCGACTTCCCTCCTCGCGGCCCTCCAGGTGACTACCCTCCTCCTCGTGGCTACCGCGATCTCTCGCCACCTCCTCCCCGTGGTGGTCGATACGATGACCTGCCTCCTCCCCCTCCTCGTGCCGGTGGTCCAGGCGGAAGATACCCCGACGCACCATCTCGTCCTCGTTACGACGACGCTGGTCCTCCCCCTCGTCGTTACTAGAACAGCAGCACAGCCAAAATGGTCCTGTAAAGTCCCGTCAATCATGTTACACTAACAATCGTTCCATATGAAATTTAGTCTTTGAGTCCGCAAACCACGATTGCAAGGTATGATGGGAAATGAAGAAGGCGAGACGAGTCGCCTTGTCTATCAGATTGCAGATGCGGTAAAGTTGAAGATACACCGGCATCACCAACGCGTGACGTGTTAAATGGAAGCTCACGGGATCGGGGAATTGGGAAAGCAATGAGCAATGATGAGGACAAGCAGAATGCAAAGTTAGTGGGGGCAAACACAGCCTATGCACAAGTGTTGACACCATGGTATGCAGGAGGTATGTTGGCATGACAACACTTATGAAGGGAGATACATGGCACATAGGCATGACTCGACAAAGTAAGCACAGTCAGGTGCTGAGGACATGTATATATACTCCTAGCTTAGTTGTTACCTCCTATATAAAATTCAAGCCTTTTTGACAATACCCAATTGTGTGAGTGCCTGCCAGTGGCCTCTGTATCAGTGTATTTTAATTCAACTGGCTCCCAACGTGGGGCTCGAACCCATGACATTCATCATGGCAGGAGATAGTGACTGCCAAGCCAGCATGGGTGAAGCAGCCAGGAGGACAAGAAAAGGTAAAATGACACAACAAGTGCAAATTGATGAAGAGGCCACTGATGGTAATGAGACCGAGTATTTTGACAATGAGGATGAAGGAGAATCAGAGTCAGACAATGATGACAACCAATATGATTACTGCACCCTGGCCAAAATCTTGGAGACAGTCCCAAAACTCACATCACGCAACTACTATAGTTGGAGCATGCTCATCAAGGCCAATCTCAGAGTAGTCCCTCATGCCACATGACACTTGGAAGGCATGTATGACAAAGACCACCCAAAATGGAATAGAACCTTTGACAACACTCTAGTGGGTGGCCTATGAAGTACCTTAGACACTGAAGGAGAGTACAACATCCTTTACCTCCTACTTGACATCAGCAAGAATCACCTGACCTGCCATCAAGCTTGGAAGAAAATCGAAAAGAGCCTTACCAGCAAAGCAGCTAGAACCTCACAATGGATAGCATTACTTGCTGAGCTCAATGAGGCAAAGATGTTTCATGCTGATGCCCATAAGCTAATCCAAGAAATCAGGGTCATGCAGATGGAAACTAGCCTCCTAGGTGCTCCATTTAGCAATGATGCACTATATGCTGTGCTCCAGAGGTGCACAATTCAACACCCGATCTACAAGGAAACAGTCACCACAGTTCACCAAGTCAGTTTCGATGCCCTAGCAATGGCTTTGACCACACACCAGTCTTCAATGGAGAATGTACCTGGTCAGAAAGTGGACCCATGGCAAGCAAGTGCCAGAGTTGCTGGAAGCAACGAAGAGCAGGCTGATGATACTGAGTCAGACATGGGCAGCACGAGGACCACAACCAGACCAAAGAGAATTTGTTGCTGGGTGTGCAAGCACTATGGACATGGCACCAGCAGATGTGATGCTTCTGTTACCATCCCCAAGAATTCCCCCCTCGCCCAGACCAACTAGGAGGTTTGGTGCTCTTTCACTCTGAGTTGGCAGCAGCTCCCAAAGTCAGAAGAAACCACATGTTGGATCTTGGACTCAGGAGTGAGCTATCACATGGTTAATGACCACAGTATGCTCATTCATCCAAGAAACTGCAGAAAGTGCATGTATACTGCCAGAAGCGAAGTACTGGAAGTGACTGCTGTGGGAGATGTCAGCATAGAAACAGAACATGGAGACGTACATCTCCAAAATGTATTATATGTTAAAAGGCTCAATATTAACCTGTTGTCAACCAACTCACTAATGGATGAGGGAGCATGTGTGACCTTAGACCCCACAGGCAGGCAAATACACCTGGCAAATGGTGTGCTATTGAAAATAGTGAAAGATCGCAAGCATGGACTGTTGGAATTCAGAGGCAATACATGGCAACAAAGCACAATGACTACATCAACACCACTGTTTGAAGGCATTGATGAAGAGTTCGAGCTGGTCAATCAGAGACAAAAGGTTTCCACAAGACAGCTCTGGCATGAGCATCTAGGACATCCAGGTCGAGACAAGTCCAGAGTGATTATTGATAAATTGAAAGGTGAACCTGTAGCAGCATTGGACCCAGATACAGCTCTGACATGTGAGCAGTGTATACAGTCCAAAAGTATGGTTGCCCAGATGGGGCAAGGTAGTGGCAAAACAGCTGCAGGGCCCCTAGATCTTATCCACATCAATCTGATCATAGACTCATCCCACGTAACAGAATATACATGCACATTAGTGCTGGTTGACAACTATAGCAAGTATGTGCATGCACAGCCACTACTATGAAAGAGTCATGCATTCATGCAACTCAAAAGAATAGTTTCATCCCTAGAGACACAGACAGACAGGAAGCTGAAAGCTATCCAATCAGATCAAGGAACCAAATGGAAAGCAATGAAGCATTAGAATGGTTACTAGAAAAGGGCATTGAATGGCAAACTACCATAGGTTACAATAGCAGGCAAAATGGATGAGTAGAAAGGATGAACAGGAGCCTGGGTGAAAAGATGCAAATGTTGCTGATGCAAAGGGGGTTACCAAAGAGGTTCTGGCTGCATGCCATATGAGCAGCAGCCTTTAAGATCAACCTCACTCCCAATGTCAACTGAGAGTTTCCATATCAGCTCATGTTCAAGAGATCACCAGAACGATTTATTTGCCTCATGTGTGTATTCAGATGCCTGGCTTGGGTGAACATCCCAAAAGCCAAAAGAAACAACAAAAAGTTGGACCAGCAAGCAGTCACAGCCATATTCATAGGGTATAGTTTGGAAAGGAAAGGGTGGCTATTTTACAGCCCTGACTATGCTCCAAACATCTTCTGGAGCAACTCAGCAAGGTTCATGGAAACACAGTGCTGGTCAGACTGATCAGAATGGCGACCAATGAATATCTGGCCCCCACCAGTCCCAACTATTGAAGAGGATCTCAATGACCTGGGGTACACAGAAGAAAACTTGTTTGATGAGAGAGAACAAGAGCCTCTAGAGGAGTATGTTGATATGGTATCAACTCCTGAGGAAGAGGGACTCGAAGGGCCGCATGTTAATGATGAAGTCCTTAACAAAGTACCAGAGAGAGAAGAATATACACCAGTACCACCTGAGGAGAGAGGCCCATGGCCAAACTGGAAGCCAGCCAGGAACATGCACAACCCAGAGACCTGGGTAAAGAAGAGTTACTTTGGGCTGGCTGCACCAAAGGCCAAGGAAGGAAAGGACAATTTGAATCCAACTGTCCATGAGGCACTGGCAGGAAAGGACAGGAGATTCTGGGAGGAAGCAATGCACAAGGAGTTGGATGGCCTAGAAGCAATGGGAACATGGGAAACATCTGATCTACCACGAGGTATGAATACAGTTGACACATGATGGGTGCTCAAGATCAAGACTGATGCAAACCTGGTCCCCACAAAGTACAAAGCAAGGTTGGTAGCACAGGGGTTTATTCAGAGGGAGGGTCTGGATTACATGGAGATTTTCGCACTAGTGGCACCCATCCAGGCAATAAGGGGAGTGCTGGCTGTTGCAGCCATACAAGATTGGGAGGTTGACTCCATTGATGTCAAACAAGCATATCTCAACTCAAGTCTGCACCATGATGTATATTTGAAGCTGCTGGTAGGGACCAGAGTACCACCAGGGAAGGTATTGAAGCTCATAAAAGGGCTCTATGGCCTGAAGCAATCGGTTAGGGAATGGAACATTGAGCTGGATACACATCTCAGAAGCATCAGCTTCCACTGCATGCCAAGCACCCCATGTCTTTACTCAAGAGGAGCGGGTGATCAACTCATGATCATCACAGTGTATGTGGATGATATGCTAATTGCATCGCCTTGCCAAAAGGAGGTCAATCACACTAAGGCTGAGATCATGAGCAAGTGGGGAACGGAGGACAACAGGCCTGTAAAGGAATTCCTAGGCATCAGAATCACTCGAGAGAGAACACAAAGCAGAATCGCACTCGACCTGACTGCATACATTAAAAGCATGGTGTCAGTGGTCTCGCGCCTGAAACCTAGGTCGGTCTGTCGAGATACTCGGTGACTATCAAGTTGTGCAACAGCTATTGTCTTGGTATCAGTCTTGACAAGCTAGTCATTTGGTGACTATCAAGTTGTGCGATGACAGCAGGTGGCATTCGTTGTATATACTATCATAGGTTTCGGCTGACCTCTGTGGACACTCCATTCAGGGGTAGCTCGGCATGATCAATATCAATGCATAGGTTATGATGACACCAAGGTCTGGTGTGAGTGTTGCTGATGATGAGGTTGATGGTGTTGGTGATAAGGTTGGTGGAATCAACATGAGTGTCCAGTGTGTTGACTTGATGCTTGAAGTGATCCCCAGACTGCAGTGGACTACTGCCTTCGGTTCTATCTATATCCAGACCACTGGTTTGCTATGAACCGCCTTTGGATGTCAGGTAGTGGTGATACAACACACACACTATGATGAGGAGCAACCTTGATAGATTGCTACTATGCTGACTGAAACTAATATATACTTATGCTGAAGTGATAACTAGTTATGATGGGTGTAGAGTGGATGAGGATCCACTCGACCTTTGATGATGAGAAGGTATGGTTATATACCTCTTCACAGCATCGCCAGTGACGCTGCTCCTGCTCTCTCTCTCCAGAGAGTACCTTCTTCATCGAGTACTGTACAGGGGGCCCCTCTAGCACCACTCCTGTCCTCTTGAGCTATCCTGCTTGTTTGGCACCCTTGTGCCTCCTGAGTGGTGTCAACTCCTTCAACACTGCTCCTCCTCCTCAGGACCTGCTTGCCAGTTCCCTATACACTGCTCCTTCTCCTTTGACCAGTGACAGTTCCGTTGACTCTTGTCTCTCGAGCCCCTGAGTGGTAACCATCTGCATGCTCCTTGAGCTTGGTCCTCTTTGTGGCTGTGCCTGGCCCTCCTCGCATATGGGCTTGGTCCTCCTTTGCATGTGAGTCCGTAGGAGTCCATGGTCTCCATGGAGACTGCACTACGACCATGCTCTCTAATGGTATCGACTAGATCTTTGATACCTGTGCTCCTTCCATATGAACCAGTGACCTGTCAGCGGTCGTGTGCCTAACACCCGACTCTCTGCGGAATGGGTCGTCTCAGCGGAACTCAGTGAGTTCCGATAGGGAGGGTAGACTGAGTGTACTTCTCGGAGAACCGGTGAGGAAGTTCTCCTGAATGGTTACCCATGATACCCAATGAGTGAGGCCCAAGGAACGGATGTCGACTAACTGCTGTCAGCACTCTGTACAGAGGTAACATGGCAAGTTCAGCTCCTAGCGATGGAGTAGTACAACACCAGCATGAGTGTCGAGATGTTGGCATAGTACTGCAAGTGACAGAGCTAGTGCTCAGTCATTGTTGCTAGCAGCGGTTAGGCTATAGGGACTGGTAGAGGTTCCAGGCCCACAGTGGAGGTTCCGCCTGTAGTTGAGGTGCTACAGCGTCGATGTAGGTGTCAACAATGTCGGATACAGTATTCTTCGTTCGATGACGAAGACTCAGACTTGTACTGATCACAATAGATGTTATTGCGATGTGCGACATATAAAGAATGTTGCTGTTCGTGTAGTATAACATATGGTTACGATCACTGTGAAGGTTTTTAATAGAGTGGATGAGTCTCCACTCATCCAGTAGCATGGAAGGATAGTATATATACGAAACTGTACCGAAATCGCAATCTAGCACTGTCACATGACCTGCATGTGACATCGCTCAGGCCTTGCTTGGTAATGCTGACTTCAGCACCTTTCTGAGCTGCCAAGCCGACTGCACTTCCAGAGTGATTGTTCCCTTAGCAATTCATCAAGTGTCTAATCATCGTCGATCAATGACATTGACCTCCCACGTGCTCGACAGGGTGGTGCTGCTCAACAACCCTCCCATCTGTTCCTGCCACTGGTAGTCCCCGATGTCCAGCAAGTTACAGTCATCTACTGGATTCCCCTGGGATCTGCCGAGCCAGGCTCTTACACTGGCCCTCAGCCGATTTAACCTCTCTGTCTGCGCAGATGGCGCAGACTCCATTTCGGCTGATGGTGCAGACTCCATTTCGGCTGACCGGCTCCCGTGACATGACCCTCCTGCTTCTTGAGCATTCAGGCCCATGACACCCTCCTCCTCATTGTGTTGTCCCATCTGTCTTTCCTGAGCCATGCCGACTCCATCGACACTGCTCCTCCTCCTTCTGTCCTCCTCACCGGTTTCTCTTACACAGCTCTCCTTCCTTCGACTGGCGATGGTCCCCTATCTTGTGTGCCCCTGAGTGGTAACCAGCTGCATGCTCCTGAGCTCGGTCCCCCTCTTGGCAGTGCTTGGTCCCACTCCCCCCATGGAAGCTCATGGTATGCCCATTCCTATCACTGATCTCTGTGGAATCTGTGATAGGATCTCTCCTATTACCAATTCTGGCAGAATCTGCCATACCCCCTCTTATATCACCAATCTTGGTGTGATCCATAGTACCATCTTCCCTCGAGCTGATCCTGGGCTTGTAGTACTATCCTCCTTCCTGCCGATCTCAATGAGATCTGTCATAGAGTTGGTACTATTACCAATCTCAGTGAACTCTGCTTCAAATCCCACAATCCACCCAATCCCTTGATTCCTGCACTCCCTTCATATGAGCTTGACAGATCTTCTAGCTTCTGCACATCCCCCCCCCATGACATTACCCCCCTCTTAAGAGCCAAGCTCCATCGAGGCAAGTCTTGCACCATGCCTGTCCCATACCACCAACTTCCTGCCTTTTTGTCATTGCCACCCTACCTATTTCCAGCATGACAAATTCACCTTACCAAACTCGCTCGTGGGCGTCTGCGAGTGCTCCTCCTCCCCCTCCTAGATGTCGTCGGATTATTGTCTGGCTTCGTCCTTGCAAAGACTTGGACCCTGGAGCCAAGTCTTCGAACTCGCTGGGGCCAGCTCGAGTGGCTGACCTGCTCGCTTCCCCAGTGGCTCTTCCTTTGCCACTAGAGCCCCTTTTTCTGGGGATGGATGACGACATCATCCCCAGCCCCCCAGCTGCTCCTTCCCTGGCCTGCAATGGGCCTCAACTTGTGGGAGAGGACTATTCCCCAGCCTCCCCCCCTTTGGATCTATACGAGGTCGACGCGAGGTGCCCCCCTCGAGACCTGACCATGCTGGAGCATCAGGCTGCTTGGGAGGCAGAGTTGGCTAGGACTCCAACTCCTCCTCCCACTGCTGACGAGGTGGTAGACACAGTGCTAGCCACTTCCCGACCAGCCACACCCATCTACTGCCTGGAGGTACAACCTCTGATGTCTCCTCCTCGTTGGCGAAGTCACCAAACTCCTCCTTTACCTCCCCCCAACCAGCATTTCCCAACAAATGGAGAAATCGCTGGTTGGGCCGAAAGATTCATTGTTGCTGACCTTGTGGCCCAGATCGCTGATCAGCACTATCCCTTGGACTGGGATGTGCCTTGCAGGTTGATACCCAAATGCTGCCTGCATCGTCTGGCCATGTTGCACCTGACTGAGGGCTGCATGCCATGGCCTAGTTGGCAATGCCACCAGTGCTTTAACCTTGGTATTCCGTGAGTTCCTCCCCTTTTTTCACGTAACCCTTGGTTCAGCTGATACTGACCCTCCTTTATGCACCTTCTTACAGCTGCTTTGCCTCCACTTTCACCAACCCATTTGGTGAGTGCAACTGGATTCCCCATGCCTGTACACACTGCTACCTCGCCAAATTGGGTCACTGCAAGCATGACATTCCTGCCCATCTGGGTATGGAGTATCCTGGAGATGGGACCCCCAGTCTGCAGCTGCAGGGCTCACATCAAGCTGAGCAGGCCCACTTGACCATAGCAGGTGGAGATGGTCCCAGCCTTATTTGTTCGGAGGAGCAGACCTTCAACCCAGTCATTACTGGTGGCTGGGTGACTGCGATGCAAGTGATCTTCCATCTTTGCCAGCTGGAATTGGTAAGTTCTATCCTCTGTGTGCTCCAACTCTTTGTTGAGCATTATAACCATTTATACTCTGAGCGCCAGCCTCATGAGTTGGTTACCAAGTCTGGCAGTCCTCCAGACCCTATTGACTCATGGGTGGAGCCCACGGTCAATGAGCGGTGGACCCGGGCAGCCCTTGCTGCTCCTTGTGTCCCATCTGGGTATGTCGACATATAGCGACATACCTGCAATTCCAATCATCCATTCTTCTTGATGACTGTTGAGTCTGTGACCTGACTCCCCGTGAAATTGCATGTGCGCCTGATTGCTGAAATCAAGCCTTTGAGCCCTCTTGTGTAGTGACCCACTGTTCTGTTGGACCCTCCTCCTGAGATCTGTAATTCTCTCAGTCCTATTACCGATTTTCGTGAAATCTGTAGTTGCACATCTTCTATTGCAGATTTCGCTCAAATCAGTCCCATCCCTGCTCCTACCGCTTCTGCCCTTCCACCCCATGCCCTTCTCAGTTTCCTCTCCCCCCCAACACCTCATACTCCTGGATGAGGTCAGGACAGTTGAGGTTTGACACTGGCTCCCAGGAGGCAGCTTCCTCTGGGTATCCTCGCCAGAAGACCTTGTATTCAGTCATCCTATTGCATGTGCATTTACCAATGAGTGCCTCCACTTCGAATTCAAGGTCTTCATCCGGTAGTGATGGTACCACTGGTTGTTCTGACTGTTGAGGGAGTGAGCTCATTTTTGCTAGCTTGAGCATTGACATGTGAAAGACATCATGGACTCTGAGGTTTGCCAGCAATGTAATTCTATATGCCCAGCAGCCCACTTGCTCCTGAACTGGGTAAGGTCCTGCAAACCTGGTATCCAGTTTCAGCATGGGTTGTCTCATCTTCCAGTTCCAGCAATTGATATAGACCATGTTGCTGACCTTGAATTCGATGTCCTTGTGTTTCCAGTTGTATTGCTCCACTGTCTGCCACTGTGCCTCTCGAATCTGGGTCTGGAGATATTCACAACATTCCTTTCCATCGACAAGGTACTCGGATTGTTCTGGGTCATTGACCCCTAGATGCTGGGGTATGTCTGGATGTGATTTGGGGTTCCATCCATAACATGCAAAGAATGGTGAGACGCCGATACTGTTGTGGACAGTGTTGTTATAGACAAACTCTGCCATCTTGAGTAGTTCGGCCCAGTCATTCTGCTCAAAGTTGCAATACATCCTTAGATACTGCTCCACCACCTGGTTAACTCTTTCAGTTTGTCCATCAGTTTGTGGATGATAAGCTGTGCTGAGGGAGTGCTTCGCACCGATGCCTTCAGCGAACTCTTTCCAGGCCTCTGAGATGAACTGTCTGCTGTGATCGGAGACCATGTGATCTGGACAACCGAACTGTCAGATCACATGTTTCCAAAGTAAGAGAGCAGTCTGTTTGGCCATGACTGTCTTATGAGTCAGGGCAAGATAGCATACTTGGTCAGTCTATCGATGATGACCAGGATAGAATCATACCCCTCCAATAAAGGTAGGCCCTCAATGAAGTCCAGTGATACTGAGCCCCAAGGTCTGTACATTGTGGCAAGCAGTTGCAGCAAGCCATATGGTCAGTGGCAAGGAGCCTTGTATCTCGCACATACAGGGCAGCTCACCACATAGTCAGCTATCCAAGCCACCATGTTTGACCACCAGTAGTGGCATTGAGCTGCTTTAATGGTAGCATCCTGTCCCATGTGTCCAGCAGTAATGCCATCATGACATTGGGACATCACCATAAATCACAAGTGCTCGACAGAGAGGGATTGACCATCCACCTCTCTAGCACTTCAGGACTGGTGGTTGTTGGTCTTTCCAGGCATGGTTACCTTTGGTATGACCAATCTACTGCCACTGTGCCATAAGCCATCCTTGATCTCAAATGGCTTCTTGACATGTATCCCCTGTAGTTCTGGGTCCAAGGGCTGGAAGATCTTGGTCAGCTCCTTGAGCCCTTGGGTTGCTATTGATTCCATAGTGAGCATGGGAGCCACTAATATGGAATCTTTGCCTAAGCCAGCTGTTAGGACCGATTCTGTTGAAATCAGTAATATTGCGCTTGCTATTACATTTCCTGCTGGAATCTGTTGTAACCCACTTCCTATTACATTTCCAGATTCCACCTTTTCAAACACCTGAGAAGGCAGCAATTGCCACACATTGTGCTCCTGCTCCTCACCAACTGGTTGCATGTCAACTCATCTGGTGAGAGCATTGGGTTTGCCCCCCTTGTCTCCTGGTCAGTATTGCAGCATGAAGTCGAAGTCTGCTAGTAATACTGCCCATCTTGCTTGTTGCCCTGTGATGCACCATTGTGACTCGAAGTACTTGAGTGCCTTGTGATCTGTGAGGATGACCAGCTGACTCGGCAGTCCTGCTAGCATGTGTCACCACTGGGTGAGGCAGGTGACCACTGCTAGGAGTTCCTTGTCATGGATCTTGTAGTTCTTTTCCATGGATGACATCTTCCAGGAATAGAAAGCCACAGGGTGCCAACATCCCTCGTGCTCCTGTTTGAGCACACCAGCAATGGTGAAGTTGCTGGCATCTGTTTCCAACCTTGTCGGCAGGTGGTAATCAAAATGCCAAAGCACTCCTGCTGTCGTGAATGCTTGAATGAGCTTGTGGAAAGCCTGTTGGGCCTCTTCTGACAGCTCAAATTTCTTGAAGCATTCCATGGGTTTGACCAGAGATGTCAATGGTTTGGTGATTCAAGCAAAGTGTGCTATGAATTGCCAATAGAAGTTGGCGAAGGCTAGGAATTGTTGGATGTCATGTATTGATTCTGGCATTGGCCATTCCTTGACAGTTTGGACCTTCTCTGGGTCCATCTCAATCCCAGTCAGTTTGATGATGTACCCCAAGAACTCAACTGTAGTGATGTGAAACTCACACTTCGACAGCTTGGTGAACAGTCAATTGCTTCTTAATCAAGTGAGAACTTCTGTGACATGTCAGACATGTTCCCCTTCTGTGCTACTGAAGATGAGGAAGTCATCCAGGTACACAACCACAAACACTCCAATGATGTCTCGGAAGATGTGATTGATAAAGGACTGGAAATGGGCCAGTGCATTCGCCAGGCCAAAGGGCATCACCAGGTACTCATAGAGTCCCAACTGTGTGCCGAATGCAGTCTTCCATTCATCCCCTTTTGTGATGCAGATGAGATTGTATGCTGCCTGCAGATCTAACTTGGTATAGTTCTTTGCCTTCTGGAGCAGGAACAGCTGCTCCTTGATGAGGGGCAGCAGTGCCCAGTTCTTGAGGGTGATTTCATTCAGGCCACAGTAGTCCATGCATAGCCTGAGGCCTCCATCCTTCTTGGGCACAAAGAGCACTGGGGATCTTGCCAGGCTCTTTGAGGGGCATATGAACCCCTTCACAAGGTTCTCATCAAGGTACTTCCTTAATTCAGCCATTTCCTTTAGCCCTTTGAGGTATAGTGGACCCTGCAGTGGCCTACTGTCTTCCATCAGTTCCAGATGAAGATCATGTTCGGTATGGTGGGGCAGCTTATCTGCTTCCACCTCATCGAACACATCCTGCAAATGTTGATATGGTTTTGGTATATCTTCTGCTGATACCTTCTGATCAACCTCTACTTCCATTTCTATGCCCTTGTCGGTGCCAGTGGGTACAAACCCAAAGGCCAGGAGCGACAAGGGTGGGAGGTCCAGGAGCATGAACCCAATGGGTCTGTCCTCCAGGGCAGCTTGTATCAGGCTTGCCACTGAAACAAACTCATTCCCATGGATGGTCAGATGTTTTGGTTTTTCGTCATAGAGGTGTGTTACCACCGATCTTGCTGAATTCAGTGATAGGCTGTCTTCTATGGCAGGCTCTTATTTTAGCTTGCTAGTTACAACACCTTTCACTGAATTCGGTAATAAGTTGCTTCTTATGACAGATTTCACCGAATTCATGTGTAGTCCCCCAGTTATGGCTTCTTCAGGGGGCCATTTTGGGGGTCAGTCCTTGTCCTGGGTCCAGAACTCCAGTTGGCCTGTCTCCCACCATATGGTGGGTTTGAGCCTTCTTAGCTTGGTGAAGCCCAAGATAAGGTTGTAGTTGGCAGTATCAGCCACTGAGACTTCGACTACTCCGAGACTGTGCTTGCTGATAGCAACTTGAATGCTTGCTGAGCTGTTGATGGCAAGCTGATGCCTGGTGACACCATGTATGGTTCTTGTTTTTGTGGGTTTTGTGGGTATGTGGTACTTACTAATAAAAGAATCTGAAACTATTGACAGTCCAGTGCCAGTGTCGGCAAGTATTCAAGCTGGATGGTCTTGAACCATTCCAGAGAGCTCTAGTACCACCATTCCTCTGCTGGTAGAGAAGCATATGGGGCAATCTTGATATATACATAAGGATGGCGAGGAGGTTTGCAGAGCAATGCATGCCATCAGTGCATCACCCCACTGCCATTTCCCTTGTCGACATTGTCTTGGACCTCTTCCTGGCCAGCATCCATTGGTGGTTGATACTGGCTGAAGTCTAGAACATCAGGGTTGACCATTTCTAGGTCATCTGTCTGGTTATCCCTGGGGTCCAGGTCTCCTCCTTCAAAGGAGGTTTCCATGGTTACCATTACCTTCGGGCCCATGGGTTGGGGCCCCAAGGCATCTGGCTTCTTGCTTGGGCAATCTCTTGCCCAATGGCCAAGCCCCTTGCACAGGTGACAAGTGTTGCTGCTTGGTAATGCAGGGCTTCCTTGTCTCAGACCCTGAACCAATTGATGGGGCAACAGCCGATTGGTTGGTCAGCTAAAGTTCCCTATTGTTGTTTGTGCCAGTGGTTGGGGATAAGTCTGTGTTGATCTCCTCGACCTCATGATACCATTCCCACCTCTTCACAGGTGGGTTCTGCTCAAACTTCTCCTGCAAACTGCATGTGAGACTTCCCCTAAACAAGTCTATAACTAGTTCATTGTCATCTAAGTTGACCTGTCCTTCTAGATCCCTGAATCACTTGATGCAGTGTGTGGCAGCCCCTGGTGCATCACTCGTGAGCTGGAGAGCCAGCAGTTTGTTGTAGGCCTCCATTCTGGCATTCTGAGGATTGAACTGTTCCGTCAGGTGCTCAGTGAAGTAATGCCAATCATTGAACAGTCTTCCTTCTCAGCCTCTGTCGATGCGAAGCTTGGAAGTCCACCATTCACAAGTGTTCCCTTCCAATTGAGCACCAATATGATTGATCATCCTTGCTTGCTCATAGACCTGGTTGAATTTGAACCATGCCTCAGCCTCAAGAATGAATATCTCAATGTCTCTAGGATTAAACTTGGGGAATGGGGTGGCGACCAGCTTGGAGCATGAGAGACTGGGGTCTCCAGAGGTGCTCACATCATCCTCTTGGTTGAAACCATAAGGTTCTGCCCTTGGCCAGTTGTACAGATCCACATGGGGCCTGAAGTATCTGGGCCCAGTGGGTGAGGTGTACTTGTCATAGTTGTTGACTGGCAGTTCACTCGGTTCCACGAATGATACCACCTGCCTTGGATGCGAAGCTGGGGACAGTGTGGGAGGGTCTCGCATCATCTCTTCCCTAGCCTCTTGATCTCCTGGGTCAGAGGGCTCGATCACCTCTGTCAGGGGTCTCGCGCCTGAAACCCAGGTCGGTCTGTCGAGATACTCGGTGACTATCAAACTGTGCGACAGCTATTGTCTCGGTATCGGTGACTATCAAGTTGTGCAGTGACAGCAGGTGGCGTTCGTTGTATACTATCGTAGGTTTCGGCTGACCTCTGTGGACACTCCGTTCAGGGGTAGCTCGGCACGATCAATATCAATGCTATGATGACACCAAGGTCTGGTGTGAGTGTTGATGATGATGAGGTTGATGACGTTGGTGATAAGGTTGGTGGGTGTTGATGATAATGAGGTTGATGGTGTTGGTGATAAGGTTGGTGGAGTTGGTGATAAGGTTGGTGGCATCAACACGAGTGTCCAGTGTGTTGACTGATGCTTGAGGTGATCCCCGGACCACAGTGGACTACTGCCTTCGGTTCTATCTATATCCGGACCACTAACCTGCTATGGGTGCCTTCGGATGTCAGGTAGTGGTGAAACAACACACACACTATGATGAGGAGCAACCTTGATAGATTGTTGCTATGCTGACTGTAACTAATGAGTACTTATGTTTCTAAGTATTGACTAGTTGTATGGTGAGTAGAGTGGATGAGGATCCACTCGACCTATGATGATGAGAAAGCATGGTTATATACCTCTACTCAGCATCGCCAGCGATGCTGCTCCTGCTCTCTCTCCAGAGAGTACCTTCTTCATCGAGTACTGCTCAGGGGCCTCTCCTGCTTGGCACCCCTGTGCCTCTTGAGCTGTGTCGACTCCTTCGACACTGCTCCTCCTCCTCATGACCTGATGTCAACTCCTTCGACACTGCTCCTCCTCCTCATGACCTGGTGTCGACTCCTTCGACACTGCTCCTTCTCCTTTGATCAGTGACAGTTCCTTTGGCTCTTGTCTCTCGAGCCCCTGAGTGGTAACCATCTGCATGCTCCTTGAGCTTGGTCCTCTTCGTGGCTGTGCCTGGCCCTCCTCGCATATGGCTCGGTCCTCCTTTGCATGTGAGTCTGTAGGAGTCCATGGTCTCCATGGAGACTGCACTACAACCATGCTCTCTACTGGTGTCGACTAGATCTTCGATACCTGTGGCCCATGACAAGTACCTCTTGTCATGGGCCTGGATGCTCAAGAAGCAGGGGGGTCACAGGTTCATATGGAAGGAGCACAGGTATCGAAGATCTAGTCGAGATCAGTAGAGAGCATGGTTGTAGTGCAGTCTCCATGGAGACCATGGACTCCTACAGACTCACATGCAAAGGAGGGCCAAGCACAGCCACAAGGAGGACCAAGCTCAAGGAGCAGGCACAGCCACAAAGAGGACCAAGCTCAAGGAGCATGCAGATGGTTACCACTCAGGGGCTCGAGAGACAAGAGCCAAAGGAACTGTCACAGGTCATGAGGAGGAGGAGCAGTGTCGAAGGAGTTGACACCAGGTCATGAGGAGGAGGAGCAGTGTCAAAGGAGTCGACACAGCTCAAGAGGCACAGGGGTGCCAAGCAGGAGAGGCCCCTGAGCAGTACTCGATGAAGAAGGTACTCTCTGGAGAGAGAGCAGGAGCAGCATCGCTGGCGATGCTGAGTAGAGGTATATAACCATGCTTTCTCATCATCATAGGTCGAGTGGATCCTCATCCACTCTACTCACCATACAACTAGTCAATACTTAGAAACATAAGTACTCATTAGTTACAGTCAGCATAGCAACAATCTATCAAGGTTGCTCCTCATCATAGTGTGTGTGTTGTTTCACCACTACCTGACATCCGAAGGCACCCATAGCAGGTTAGTGGTCCGGATATAGATAGAACCGAAGGCAGTAGTCCACTGTGGTCCAGGGATCACCTCAAGCATCAGTCAACACACTGGACACTCGTGTTGACGCCACCAACCTTATCACCAACACCATCAACCTCATTATCATTGACATCACCAATCTCATCACCAACACCATCAACCTCATCATCATCAACACTCACACCAGACCTTGGTGTCATCATAACATTGATATTGATCGTGCCGAGCTACCCCTGAACGGAGTGTCCACAGAGGTCAGCCGAAACCTACGATAGTATATACAACGAACGCCACCTGCTGTCACTGCACAACTTGATAGTCACCGATATCGAGACAATAGCTGTCGCACAGTTTGATAGTCACCGAGTATCTCGACAGACCGACCTGGGTTTCAGGCGCGAGACCCCTGACACCTTCTTCATCGAGTACTGCTCAGGGGCCTCTCCTGCTTGGCACCCCTGTGCCTCTTGAGCTGTGTCGACTCCTTCAACACTGCTCCTCCTCCTCATGACCTGGTGTCGACTCCTTCGACACTTGTCTCTCAAGCCCCTGAGTGGTAACCATCTGAGCTTGGTCCTCTTTGTGGCTGTGCCTGCTCCTTGAGCTTGGTCCTCTTCGTGGCTGTGCCTGGCCCTCCTCGCATATGGCTCGGTCCTCCTTTGCATGTGAGTCTGTAGGAGTCCATGGTCTCCATGGAGACTGCACTACAACCATGCTCTCTACTGGTATCGACTAGATCTTCGATACCTGTGCTCCTTCCATATGAACCAGCGACCCTCCTGCTTCCTGAGCATTTAGGTCCATGACAACCTCCTCTCCACTCAGATGAGCACGGCGTAGATGCTCTTTGCGTTGCCCTTGCCTGGTAAGCTCCAGCTGGGCTTCCATTAAGGAGAGTAGCCTCTCAAGCTTATCGTTGAGGCTTTCGTCTGTCATGTTGATCATGGGGTGCCGCTTGAATGATCCACTCTAATGTCAGAGGTTGTGTGCCTGAAACCTGAGATCAGTAGTTGTATCAATACTATTACTGATTCTGTCAAGTTATGTGACAGCACTTGTGGTATTGCAATTCTTCGCAAGATATGCAGTAGAGCCATCTCTATTACTTTTCTTGCTCGAATCTGTAGTTGTGATGATGCTATTGCAGATTTCGACTGACCACTGTTGGACACTCCATTCAGAGGTAGCTTGGCACAATCAATAACTATGTGAACTTGCTGATGACACCAAAGGTCTGGTGTGAATATGGATTGGTGGCATCAACACAGGTGTCCAGTGCATCGACTATGCTTGAGGTGATCCCCAGACCACAGTGGACAACTGCCTTTGGTTCTATGAATATCCAGACTGCTGGTTTACTAAGAACCGCCTTCAGACATCAGGAAACAGTGATACAACACACATGCTTCGATGAGGAGCAATCTATTGATTGCAACTTATGCTGACTGAAAACTAATGAGTACTTATGTTTCTAAAGTATTGACTAGTTGTATGGTGAGTAGAGTGGATGAGGATCCACTCAACCACTAGCGATGAGAAGGTATGGCTTTATACCTCTTCACAGTGGCACCAGCACCACTGCTCCTGCTCTCTCTCCAGAGAGTACCTTCTGCATCGAGTACTTCACAGGAGTCTTCAATGAGACCCCTCCTCCTCATTGCATTGTCCCATCTGTCTTTCCTGAGCTGTGCCGACTCCATCGACACTGCTCCTCCTCCTTCTGTCCTCCTTGCCGGTTTCTCTTACACAGCTCTCCTTCCTTCGACCGGCGACGGTCCCCTATCTTGTGTGCCCCTGAGTGGTAACCAGCTGCATGCTCCTGAGCTCGGTCCCCCTCTTGGCAGTGCTTGGTCCCACTCCCCCCACGGAAGCTCATGGTATGCCCATTCCTATCACTGATCTCTGTGGAATCTGTGATAGGATCTCTCCTATTACCAATTCTGGCAGAATCTGCCATACCCCCTCTTATATCACCAATCTCAGTGTGATCCATAGTACCATCTTCCCTCGAGCCGATCCTGGGCTCATAAAAGGTGCGCACTGTCAAGGAGTGGCCAATGCCAGAGTCAATCCATGACATCCAGAGGTTCCTGGGTTTTGCCAACTTCTATCGAAGGTTCATAGCCCACTTTGCTCGCATAGCCAAGCCCTTGACAGCACTGGTAAAGCCTATAGAACGGTTCAAGAAGTTCGAGCTACCAGAGGAGGCCCAACAGGCCTTCCACAAGCTCATCCAGGCCTTCACATCAGCAGGAGTGCTTCAGCACTTCGACTACCACCTTCCAACAAGGTTGGAGACTGATGCAAGTGACTTTGCTATAGCAGGAGTGCTCAAGCAGGAGCATGAAGGACGATGGCATCCAGTGGCCTTCTACTCTAGGAAGATGTCTTCTGCCGAGAAGAACTATGAGATCCATGATAAGGAGCTCCTAGCTGTGGTCGCCTGCCTCACTCAGTGGCGACACATGCTAGCTGGACTACCGAACCAACTGGTCATCCTCACTGACCATGAAGCCCTCAAGTACTTCAAGTCACAGAGACACATCACAGGTCGACAGGCTCGATGGGCCATACTACTAGCAGACTTCGACTTCATATTGCAGTATCGACCAGGAGACAAAGGTGGTGAACCCGATGCTCTCACCAGAAGGACAGACATGCAACCAGCCGGTGAAGAGCAGGATCACAATGTGAGGCAACTACTGCCTCCTCGAGTGTTCAAGGAGACAGCAGACCATGACTCGCTCCTAGTGGCCCCCATGATCTCGATGGAGTCCATAGCATCAAAAGGTCTCAAAGACCTGGTCAAGATCTTCCAGCCCTTAGACCAAGAGCTACAGGAGATACATAGGAAGAAGCCCTTCGAGGTCAGGGATGACCTATGGTACAGTGGAGGAAGGTTGGTTATCCCCAAGGTGATCATGCCAGGGAGGACCAACAACCGACACTCAAGGAGTGCCAAAGAGGTAGATGGACAGTCTCTCTCTGTAGAGCATCTGCGATTCATGGTGATGACCCAATGCCATGATGGTATCACTGCTGGACACGTAGGAAGAGATGCTACCATCAAGGCAGCTCAACGACATTACTGGTGGCCAAACATGACAGCTTGGATTGCAGACTATGTAGCAAGTTGTCCTGTATGTGCTAGGTACAAAGCTCCTCGTCATCGTCCATATGGTTTGCTACAGCCACTAGCAACCCCAGACAGGCCCTGGGGCTCCATATCCCTCGACTTCATTGAAGGACTACCACCATCAAAGAAGTATGACTCCAAGACCTATGACTCTATCCTAGTCATTGTCGACAGGTTAACCAAGTTTGCCATACTAGCTCCAACCCATAAGACGGTCACAGCCAAACAGACTGCAGTATTGCTGTATGGACACATGGTTAGACTCTTCGGATATCCAGATCACATGGTCTCGGACCGAGGCAGGCAGTTCATATCCGGAGCATGGAAGGCATTTGCAGAGCAAATGGGTGTGAAGCACTCACTTAGCACGGCTTACCATCCTCAAACTGATGGTCAGACAGAGAGAGTCAATCAGGTCATAGAACAATATCTCAGGATGTACTGCAACTATGAGCAGAATGACTGGGCCAACCTGCTGGACACTGCGGCCTTTGTATACAACAACACGGTCCACAACAGCATTGGTGTCTCACCATTCTTTGCATGCTATGGATGGAACCCCAAAGCTCATCCTGACATCCCTCAACGACTAGGAGTCAATGATCCAGGTCGCTTCGAGTACCTCATGGATGGAAAGGAGCGTTGCAAGTACCTCCAGGAGCAGATCAGAGAGGCACAACGCAGATCAGTAAACCAGTATAACAGGAAGCACAAGGACATCGAGTTTAAGGTGGGTGATATGGTCTATATCAACCGACGAAACTGGAAGACAAGGAGACCCACACCCAAGTTAGACACCCGGTTCGCAGGACCCTACCCAGTTCAGGAACGGGTAGGACGCCGAGCTTATCGAATCACATTGCCAGCAAACCTTAGGGTGCATGATGTGTTCCATGTCTCCATGCTCGAGCCAGCAAGAACAAGTTCTCTTCCTCAACGTGCTGAACAGCCCACCATACCATCACTTCCAGATGAGGACCTCGACTTCGAAGTCGAAGCACTCATCGACAAGCATTCACACAATGGGACTACGGAGTACAAGGTGTTGTGGAGAGGGTACTCAGAGGAAGCTGCTTCATGGGAACCAGTAGAGAACCTCAACTGTCCCGACCTCATCCAGGAGTATGAGGTGTCGGAGGGGGGACGAGTGAGTAGACAGAGTGAAGAGAGGAGGAGAGAACAGGAGGAGTAGAGAGAGGAAGAGGAAGGAGGATGACGTTGGGAGAAGGAGGAAGGATGACGGGGGCAATGTGTCGAGGAAGAGGAGGAGTCAGCATGAACCAGACCAGAGCATGCCTCGACGGAGCTCGGCTCTTAAGAGGGGGGTAGTGTCATGGGCCTGGATGCTCAAGAAGCAGGAGGGTCACTGGTTCATATGGAAGGAGCACAGGTATCGAAGACCTAGTCGATACCAGTAGAGAGCATGGTCGTAGTGCAGTCTCCATGGAGACCATGGACTCCTATGGATTCACATGCAAAGGAGAACCGAGCCACATGCGAGGAGGACCAGGCACAGCCACAAGGAGGACCAAGCTCAAGGAGCAGGCACAGCCACGAGGAGGACCAAGCTCAAGGAGCAGGCACAGCCACGAAGAGGACCAAGCTCAAGGAGCATGCAGATGGTTACCACTCAGGGGCTCGAGAGACAGGAAGTCGACACAGGTCAAGAGGAGGAGGAGCAGTGTCGAAGGAGTCGACACAGGTCATGAGGAGGAGGAGCAGTGTCGAAGGAGTCGACACAGGTCATGAGGAGGAGGAGCAGTGTCGAAGGAGTCGACACAGGTCATGAGGAGGAGGAGCAGTGTCGAAGGAGTCGACACCACTCAAGAGGAACAGGGGTGCCAAGCAGGAGAGGCCCCTGAGCAGTACTCGATGAAGAAGGTACTCTCTGGAGAGAGAGCAGGAGCAGCATCGCTGGCGATGCTGTGAAGAGGTATATAACCATGCTTTCTCATCATCATAGGTCGAGTGGATCCCCATCCACTCTACTCACCATAACTAGTTATCACTTCAGCATAAGTATACATTAGTTTCAGTCAGCATAGCAGCAATCTATCAAGGTTGCTCCTCATCGTAGTGTGTGTGTTGTATCACCACTACCTGACGTCCGAAGGCGCCCATAGCAGGTTAGCAGTCCGGATATAGATAGAACCGAAGGCAGTAGTCCACTGCGGTCCGGGGATCACTTCAAGCATCAAGTCAACACACTGGACACTCGTGTTGATGCCACCAACCTTATCACCAACACCATCAACCTCATTATCATCGACGCCACCAACCTTACCATCAACACCATCAACCTCATTATCATCGACATCACCAATCTCATCACCAACACCATCAACCTCATCATCATCAACACCCACACCAGACCTTGGTGTCATCATAACATTGATATTGATCGTGCCGAGCTACCCCTGAACGGAGTGTCCACAGAGGTCAGCCGAAACCTACGATAGTATATACAACAAACGCCACCTGCTGTCACTGCACAACTTGATAGTCACCGAGTATCTCGAGACAATAGCTGTCGCACAGTTTGATAGTCACCGAGTATCTCGACAGACCGACCTGGGTTTCAGGCGCGAGACCCCTGACACTCACCTTCAGTGCCCTCACCACCACTCTAACTATTCGACAGTTGGTGATTGAGAACAACCCTGTTCAAAAGGTTGATCCCTGCCAGGCAAATGCCAGAGTCACTGGCAATGATGACCAAGATGAAATGATTAAGGAGAACGAGGGAAGCAAGAAGGACAAAGATCACACCAGTGCCAAGGTTACCACTAGGCCATGAAGGCTTTGGTGCTGGGTCTGCAAATGCCCCAGACATGGCATCAGCCAGTGCAATGCTTCAGTAACCATCCCTGAGAACTCCCCTCTTGCCAAACCAAAATAGGAAGCATGGTGCTCCCTCACACTGAGTTGGCAGAAGCCCCCAGGTCCCAAAGAAACATCTCATTGGATCTTGGACTCAGGGGCTAGTTACCACATGGTCAACACTTATGGCATGCTCATTAATCCTAGAACCTGCAGAAAGCACATATTCACTGCCAGAAGCGAGGTTCTAGAAGCAACAGCCATAGGAGATGCAAGCATATCAACAAATCATGGAGACGTATTACTCCAGAATGTATTGTATGTGCAGCATTTGAATGTTAACCTATTGTCAACCAACTCTCTGACAGATGAAGGAGCATGAGTGATACTAGATTCAACCAGCAGGGAGATACACTTAGCAAATGGCACACTACTCAAGATGGTCAAGGATTGCAAGTGAGGACTCTTAGAGTTCCAAGGCAACACATGGTGAGAAAATGCAATGATCACATCAACATCACTATTTGATGGTGTTGATGAAGATTTCAAGCAAGCTGAAAGTAAGGCCAAAGTATCAAAGCAACAATTATGGCATGAATGTCTGGGACATCCAGGTCAAGATAAGACAAGGGCCATTATCAATTGCTTAGGAGGCAATGACACAGCAGGTCTGAACCCAGATACTGCCATGACATGTGAGCAATGCATCTGATCCAAGAGCATGGCAGCCCGAATGGGACAAAGTAGTGGAGAGAAGTCTGTCTTCCCACTTGATCTCATTCACATCGACTTGATAGTCAATTCATTGCATGTGACAGAATACACATGCACACTGGTACTGGTCGATGATCACAGCAAGTATGTGTATGTGCAGCCTTTGTCATGAAAGAGCCATGCATTTCCCAAGCTCAAGGCAATCATATCATACCTTGAAACACAGACAGGAAGAAGTCTAAAAGCAATATGATCTGATCAAGGCACAGAATGGAGAAGCAATGATGCACTTGAGTGGACACATGATAAGGGCATTGAATGGCAGATGATGGTAGGATACAATAGCAGACAGAACAGACATGTGGAGAGGATGAACAGAAGCTTGGGTGAGAAGATGCAAATGTTGCTTATGCAAAGGAGGTTACCAAAGAGTTTCTGGCCCTATGCAATCTGGGCTGCAGCTTTCAAAATAAACCTCACTCCAAACATCAATGGTGAGTTTCTATACCAAGCCATGTTTGGGAAGTTGCTGGAGCAGCTCATGAGACTCCTATGTGTTTTTGGATGTTTAGCATGGGTAAACGTTCCCAAGGTTAAAAGAGATAACAAAAAGCTAGACCAACAAGCCGTAGCATCTATATTCCTGGGGTATAGTCTGGAAAGGAAAGGATGGCTCTTCTACAGCCTGGACTACAGTCTGAACATATTTTGGAGCAACTCAGCTGGATTCATGGAGACAAAATGTTGGTCTGACAAAACAGAGTGGCAACCAGTGAATATGCATCCACCACCAGCACTGGCAGATGAAGGAGACATAGACGACTTCAGGTACACAGATAGGAACCTCTTTGACAAAAGAGAGGAGGAGCCACTAAACGAGTACATAGATATGGAGGCAATAGATGGATTGGATGATGAGGGAGACCTGGGTCAGGATGCAACAAAGGCAATTGAATGCAGGACTGACACCGACACTAACACATGGGATTACACATGGACCGATAGCACCCATTTTGGACTCACGGCAATAAATGATCACAAGGGAAGAAACCTAGATCCAACAGTCAGTGAAGCATTATCAGGAGAAGACAGGAAGCATTGGGAGGAGGCAATGTGCAAAGAGCTGGATGGTTTAAAAGCTATGGGCACATGGGAAGTCGTCAATCTCCCCAAAGGTATGCATGCTGTCAACATGCATTGGGTACTAAAAATCAAAACAGATGCAAACCTGATTCTGACAAAGTTCAAAGCAAGACTGGTGGCAAGAGGCTTCACACAAAGAGAAGGTATAGATTATACAGAAGTGTTTGCACCCATCACACCCATTCAATCAATCCGAGGAGTCTTAGCCATAGCAGCAGTGCATGACTGGGAAGTAGATAGTATTGATATCAAGCAAGCATATATAAATTCAACACTACATCATGATGTTTTCTTGAAGCCACTGCTTGGAATGAAGATCCCATCTGGAAAGGCCTTAAAGCTAGTAAAAGGATTATATGGACTAAAGCAATCAGGCTGAGAATGGAACATAGAGCTGGACTCATATCTGTGGAGCATAGGCTTTCACTGTATGCCAAGTGCACCTTGTCTGTATTCAAGAGGAACTGGAAACAGCCTAACCATCATCACAGCATATGTCAACAACATGCTCATAGCATCATCCAGTCATAAGGAGGTGGATCACACCAAAAGGGAGATAATGTCCAAGTGGGGAACAGAGGATAATGGACCAGTGAAAGAATTCTTAGGTGTCAGTATCAAACAAGACAGAACCAAAGGGGAGATGTCACTTGATTTGACTGCTTACATCAAGGTGATGGTGAGTAAATGGTTACAGATGACAGATCAGAAATCTTGGGTGCCAATGCAAGGGATACCCAATGTCACAGGAAATGATAAGTGTGATCCACCAAAGGTAAAACAATACCAGGAGCTAGTGGGACAATTATTATGGATAGCAAACACTGCACAACCCGACATATCATTCACCATGGGAATACTGGCAAGGTACATGTTGAGCCCAATCAACAGTGCATGGAAAGCTGCCATACATTTGATGAAGAACCTCAGTCAAACCAGTGAATACAGACTGATCTTTGGAAGCAGATCAAGTGAACACTCAAGGCAGCCAATTGTTATGTATACCAATGCCAATTGGGCCTCAGACCCAATGAACAGATGGAGAAGTACATTGGGAGTGATGATGTACATATATGGATGCCCAGTCAGTTGGAGATCACATGTCCAGAAATGTGTAGCACTATCAGTGGTGGAGGCTGAATTTGTTGCTGCCTCAGAAGCAGTGAGAGAAGCACTTTTCTTCTCATACCTTCTCAGGGATTTGGAGATCAATGCTACCCACCCAGTTTTACACACAGACAGCCAGGGATGTATACAGGTGAGTAAGGATCCTGCAAAGCACTGGAAGTTGAAGCACATAGACACCAGATATCATTTCATTAGGGATCATGTTCAAAATGGAGAGATAGGGATCAAATTTGTTGGAACAGCAAACAATGTGGCAGATATCTTAATGAAGCCATTGAAGGGTTTGGCAACATCACAGCTAGCTCAGTTATTAGGGTTGATGATGCCATCAAAGGGGGGAGTTGAAGATGCATCAGCATCCCAAGGGGATTTATGGGGTCTGTGGAGCATCATGGGGTCCACAGAACATAAGCGAGTCAACAATGAAGCAAAGCTGCATATAGGTGGTGATGCATGTGGGATGCATAGGAGTTGTCATGATAATGCACAGGAGACAACAACTCAGGAGTAGCATGAGGAGTGACTCATCATGCATTGGCACATGTTGAAGGCAATTACTAAGTATATATATGACTATGTATGTAGCATCCCATTGATACAAATATACACATGCATTCAAGAAGTTATATGCCTGTAGATGAGAGCTTGCTAGTAGCTCCGTTCAGTTGCGTTGTACTTGCAATTCTCAACTAAGAGTGACGTTCGGTGATGAAGCAGCTCCTGTTCATCTTCCGCTTCTTCAAAAATTACACTTCAGTCCCATTTGACAGCGGCACAAGCAAGCGGAAAGTGCGTAAGAAGGAGACAGCAAGTTGGACAAGTGACAAGGCACTGTTCTTCCTCTTTCCGCTGTCAGTCACCTTGTCACCATCATCCAACTTGCTGACCTTTGATCACTTTGTTGTGGATCGGATCATCCAAAAGCTCATCTCTCACTCTTTCCCACGCTCAGGTTGGTGGTCAGCGCGGGCCACCATGCCACTGGTCGTTCCGAATCCGCACTTGCAAGAAGCGCTTGTTTCGATCCAACAAGCTTCTTCTGCATTCACCAACCCTGATCCGCAAATTAGAGCCAAAGGAGAAGCCACTTTCATCGCTCTCTGCCAATCCGACGGTGCACTCGACTATGCTTGCTTTGCTCTCGAACATTCGCACGATCCTCTGGTCCTTTTCCAGTCGCTCGATGTTCTCCTCTACGTGCTTCCATCATTGACGGCACAACAGCCCAGTCAAGCCATCGCATCTCTCAGCTTGTTGCGTGACTTCCTTCTGCAGTTCTGCGTCTCTCGCAGCGAACAATCCTCTCGGTTGGCTGGTCCCTCTTCATCGCACAACTCGGCTTCATGGCCGCAGTACCTTGCTGGACGTGCTTTCCAGACTGCCATCGCAGTGGAGAAGCGTCTGCTCGGTCTCGAACTTGCGCAGCATGTGGGACAGTTGACAGGAACCAGCTCCGCACTTGACACTGCAATCGAATCGCACGTTGGTCTGCTCAATACGCAGCTTTCCAGTCTTTTGGCACTGCCCTCACCGTGGCCAGTTGATCCGACAGAGTCGGCAGTAGCGCTAGCACGCATCCTAACTGGTCTCGGACTCGTTCGTGCCGTCGTTGACGAGTTCATTCTCACCAGCGCCAATGACGACTTTGACAGCTCAGCATCCTCCGAACGCAGCCGCGCTCAGCCTTTGCAATCCGCTTCCAAATCCGCTGTGCCCGGATCTGCCGTGGGTCTCAACTTGCTCCAGCATCGACAGTGCAAGTCGCTCATCCAGAACCACGTCCTGGCTGGTCTCATGACTGCCGTCTTCCAGCTTCTATACAACACCATTTCCGAGGAAAGCACTTCCAACATCGACAGCTCTTGGCGTCATACGCTCTTCTTCCAGGCTGCCTATGCCACAGAGAAGCTCCTCGGTTGGACCTTCACCCGCTTCGACCCTTTCACATCCGCAGCATGGCAACAGCAGGCGCGCTCTCAGAACCAAGATGTTGACGCTGTTTTAGTCTCCCGAGTCGACCAAGAAGACGAGCCAAACGCTACATGGACAACTTTTCACGGCAACAAGTCCCTCCGACCCAAGCATGTTCCCCACGCATTCGTTCCCGTCTTGCTTTCAGACGATGTTATATCCCTTCTCGCCACCGCTTATCGCTTCGGTCTCCGTATGCAGGCTTCAGCGATGGCCAGTCGCGATCTATCCTACTCGGTTCATCGCCTCCGACAGTGCATTCTCTCCACCTGCAGCTTCACGCCTCAATCGCATAAACCGCAGCATGTTCCTGTGCTCATCTCTCGCACCAAGCACCTCTGCGCTACACTCCAAACCCTGGTTGAGGAAGAGTGTGCGTCACCTTCACAGTTGCTGTCAGCTCGTGGCAACTCGATGCTCTTCTTGGCTCAGGCGTTTCAAATCGTCGTCACTGTAGTGCCTTTACAGATTTTAACTGCTTCTCTCCAGTCTGGCGATGCCCGTGCTCAGAGTAGCTTTGCGTTCGTCTCCGCCTTGTCATCGCTCGGAAAGGCTATCTTTATTCTTGATTTCCATCGACCGAAGGACACGGACGAAGAGGATGATCTTGCTGTTCTCACCGAAGATGCTGTCGATGCTCTGCTTGCTTCTTGGCAATCCCTCACCTCGTCGTTGCGTCAACAGGACGCTGCTCACGCTCAGGATACCAACGTGCAGGCCTTTGCAAGGACCGTTTATGGCAGCATTCGTGACCAAGTCTTTGCTCCTTACCTCACCGGTCGTTTGGAAGCAGCCTCGATTGTCAGTGGAGAAGAAGACATGTCTGAAGTCGAAGAAGTCGACGCCAAGGATCGAGACGTCTATTCGGACCAGCTCATCACAATCGCCAATCTTGCGAGGACTTCTGCAGCAGACAACCTGCGAGCGTTGCATCAACTCGCCCAGCCTCTATGCGACAAGCTCATCGCTAAATCTCAGCGACGGGCCAACTTCACCGACGTAGAGATGGGCCAGATTTGGGAGCAGATTCACTGGCTCATGCTCATCGCTGGTCATGTGCTAGCGGATGATGCACGTGGCGAAACACCCGAAGTTCCCAGCGAGATCGCAGCGAGCGCAGAACCAGATGATCCTGCCGTGGCTCTCATTATGCAGCTTGGCATGCAACTTCTTCAGCACCTTTCCGCGAATGGCGCTGCGTCTGTAGCGGCTTCCAGTCCGCAAGTGACTGAGACACTGCTCTGGTTCACTGGGCGTTGGACATCATCGTATCTCCTGATCGACCAACGATCTGGCTTTGCAACCAATGCTGCTATCCAGCGCGCCTTTGGAGATCAGGCAGGACGACAAGTCCTGACTTTCTTGCTTCAGCGACTCTCCGAGAATCTGCAGCTGTGGATGTCCGACTCATATGTGCTACTGCAGCTTGCTCAGGTTCTCTCCGCTTTCACTCGATCCAGCGGCATCATGATCTGCCTTCTGCAGCTTCCCGAGATGGAGCAGCTAGTCTCAGGAATCGTCTCCGGCCTCGATCACCTTCCCGCCAACACGCACGGTGCACTGATCGCCTCCGTAGTCAGCTGCATTTATTCTGGCGCAACGCATACCGACGCACCCACCGAGCGATCCGCCGAATTCTATTTCAAGCAAATCACCGCATCCATCGAATCACGTTTCGGCACTCTCCTCTCTCGTTCTGACTTTGCAGCCAACTGTCAGCGCTCGGACGTCATCTCTGCCGTCCAAACCTCGCTAGACATGCTTGAAGGTCTCGCTTCCTCGATCCAGCCCAACTCGGCAGAGATTGTGTACGGATTCATCTCCAAATTCTTCACCGCTTTTTCGCAGTTGTGTCGAGTGTACGACTCTCGACCAGAAATCGCGTTATCGATCTTGAGGTTGCTTCACACACTCAGTGTTTCGTTGGAGTTGGATTTTGGTGCTGAGCCATTTATCGTTATAGGTCTTAATCAGGCAGTGTGGGAATTGATGCAGGCTTTGCAGGGAGAGAATAGGGCGGGAAAGAAGAAGACGCACTTGTTGCTTGCTTCGGAGGCTGGGTCACCGTTAGATGATGATGTGCCGTATGAAGGGTTGTGTCTGTTGCTTGAATTACTTGCTGAGCTTTCAGGCTCTGCGAGGGCAGGAGTGGACGATGGAGGGTCGGATCAGTCGTTGGAGTTGCAGCCGAGTAAGACTAGCGATGTTTGTTTGGTTGGATTTGAACATGTACTTGGTCTTCTGCTCACTCCTGATCCGCTAAGCGTTCCGAGGTTGAGGCAGGGATTGGGAAAGCTCACGTCGTCGATCTTTGGTCTGTTTTCTGGGCGAATGATTCTCGTCGCATCTAAAACTGGCAACACTTCTCACGGCACATTGCTGGATAAAGCAGTCCAAGCCCTCTCCCTATGCATAAAGATGGACGAGAACGAAACGGCACAATTGGGTCTCGAATCTATCGTTGCCTTCTGCAAGGTCGTCTCAGTGCACTTCAGCCAGCCGTCACCACAGTTGGTCGGAGCATTGCATGGAATCTTGGCAGCAGTATTGAGGTTGTTATTGGCGGAACCGTTGGATTCGACTTTGTTCTGGACCTCATTGTTTGCGTTGTTGTCGTTGCTGAAAGTTTCGAGAAGTACGGATTTGGGTGCAGCGATAGAGAAGGCGGTTGAGGGAGTAGAGAGTAAAGATGCTTTCCAACATGCAGCGAGGAAGTTGGTTGAATCAGCGCTAGGGCCTCAGGGCCAGGATGATGCGGATTGGATCCATGAGGCTAAGCAAAAGCTGCCGAAATGGAGGGGACAGATTAGGGTTCGTTGAAGGAGTTCGTCATTGTAAAAGGTTTTAATAGCATAGCACGTGTTAGCATTAGTTGAGGGAGACGTAACAACGGTTGAAAATGCGTCGGCATCCCAATGGGGTTCATGGGGTCTGTGGAGCATCACGGGGTCCATGGAGGATAAGCGAGCCACTGATGGAGCAAAGCTGCATACAGGTGGCAACACATGTGGGATACATAAGCATTGTCATCATAACACACAGAAAGCGACAATGCAGGGGTGATATTAAGAGTAACTCATCATAAATTGGCACATGTTGAAGGTGATCACTAAGTATATATATATATGACTATGCATGTAGCAGTCCATAGATCTAATGAAAATAATAGCAGCAAAAACCCAAAATTCTCAACTGATTAAGAGTCTGAAGCTCAGCAGCTCTCAGCACCTTGCAGCCAGCAACTGCAGACAGTCAGCATGCCACCCAGGGTAGATAGCATAGCTCTGCTAGAGCATACCGTGCAGATAATCAGGGAAGCTCACACCAATTGGAATGAAGACCAAATCCTAGAGTGTGCCTTCTCCATGATGAATCTTCAACCAAATGCCAGCCAAGCAGAGAAGATCCCCAAGTCAGTGCTTAGCATTGTATCACAAATTGTCAAGCTCAACAAGAACAACTGGGCCATCTGGGAGCCCATGTTTATGGACTGCATCCAGCCAATCAAGAATGCCAAGCACATTCTTACTGGAGAGATTCCTAGTGACCACACCAACTATGACAAAGAGCTAAATAGCCACTTATTAGGCCTTATCCTCTCCTCCTGTGACCATGGACCCATGAGCAGCATTGATACCTACACAGTGAGGGAACAAGACAAAGAGGAACAAGTCAGCTCCACACTCTACAAGAAGCTCAAGGCTACACTCACAATCAACAATGAGGTCAAACTCTCTGCTATTCACAACTGAGTACATGAGATCAAGTTGGTCCACTGAAATGTTGTCAACCTTGGCAAGGAACTTGACTGAATTTGGAATGATGCTGCAAGGCTTGGCAGCTGCATGGATGAGAAGCTCAAGAAGTCCACCCTGTACTGCTGTGTCAAGGATGACTGGCTCTACACCCAAACAGTAGACTCCCTCAAGGCCACTCAACCTGGTTGTAGCTATGAATATGCCTACCATGCACTCACTAAGAAGCATCAGGAAGCCAAACTTTTGGGCCACATCTGAGCTGTGGCCAGATTTACCAGCAACAAGGATGCAACTAGTCAAGCCAGCAGACTTGGACAAATCCTCAACCAAGAAGGCTACAACAGAGGTAGACATGACCCTGCAAACCCCAATGAGCCAGCTAAGTGCTACAAATGCAGACAACTGGGCCACATTGCAATCAATTGCACTAACAGCCAAGAGCAAGCCTCAGCACAACAGGAGTAGGAACTCAGGTGCACTCTTTTTGTCAGCAACACCAATGATCATAAACAAAACAGCACATGGGTCCTTGATTCTGGAGCTATGCATCACATGGTACATGATGAAAGCAAGCTTATTGCCCTGACAGCAAAGCAAGGATTTGTAGATACTGCTGGACAAGAATGACTACAAGTCCAGGCAATAGGTGATGCAACCTTGCAAGTCGGAAACATTAAAATACCCCTCACAGATGTACTTTATGTTCCCAGTCTTAGCAAAAATCTATTGTCTGTTCCAGCATTGACCAAAAATGGTGCACAAGTGATATTTGAAGAATCTGGAGCCATCATTCTCCAGCACAATGGAAGCATGGTCAAGAACAAGACCAACCAGCATAAGAAAAGATGGGAAGTTTACAGTGACTCCCTAGCAGCACAGCTCAATGACCCTCTCGAGGGCATTGATATTAGCACAACACCAGCAAGGCCTGCAAGCCACATGATGAGCAAACTATGGCACAAACAATTCGGCCACCCTGGCAGAAATAAGACCAAGCAAATCCAAGCTCACTATTTAGGAAAGGAGACACAGCTTGAGCATGATGCAAGGGACTGCAACTGTTGCAGTCAGGCAAAACAAACATGTGCAAGAATGATGAGCAGCAAAACAGAATGAGCACAGGCACCCCTAGAGTTGGTGCAAATTGACTTAATGACAGACTTACAAGGCCATCCCAATTATCACCATGCACTGGTAGTTGTAGATGACACTTCATCCTATGTGTATGTGAAACTGGTCCTCAGCAAAGCAGAAGCATTCCCCACTCTGAAAGCATGGATCAAAACAGCAGAGATAACCATGGATTGCACACTAAAGTGCATTTGCAGTGATAATGGAACAGAATGGTCAAGCTTCACAGCAGGGGAATGGAAGTGGGTGGCAGGATTCAAGTGGCAGAAAACCACCCCGCATGTCAGCATACAGAACAGGAGAGCAGAGTGCACCATCAGATCACTTCAAGAAAAGATGTGTGCAATGCTTATCCAAAGATCAGTGCCAAGAGGACTATGGCCCTATGCCATTATGGCTGCTGGACATTTACTTAACCTGACACCCTCAGTGAATGCAAACAGGATTCCATATGAAGATTTTCACCACACATTGGCACATGGTTTAGCCAAGCAACTATGTGTCTTTGGCTGCCTTGTGTGGGTCCACCTCCCCAAGAAGTACCATGCAGGCAAGTATGGTGTGAGAGCCATACCAGGAATTATGGTTGGCTATAACAATGAACACAAGGGTTGGAAGTTCTATACCCCAGACCACATGCTGTCCATCCAGTGGAGTAATTCAGCTACATTCCATGAAGCAAAGGGCTGGCATGATTGGCCCAAAGTACAGAGCCTGCTGCAGATCAGGTTTGAGAGTCTCGAAGCAGAAGGTGCCAGACCAGAGGCAGACAATCTTGAACCTGAACTAGAAACAGAAGAGCTTGACACACAAGACTCATTCCCAAGCACACCCACTGTACAACCCATTGATGCCACCAAAGACAACCAATTGGAGATCGCTGTTGAAGACATGATTGGAGAAGCAAATACTGCCATCTTGAATCTCGCACTGATGTTGAAGGAAGCACTTGCCAGTGACATTGCACAGCAATGGCAAGAAGCCATACACAAGGAGTTGGATGGGCTCAAGGCTATGGGGACCTGGGAAATTGTAGACATACTGCCAGACACCAAACTCGTTGACTCCAAAATTGTCCCCCACCTCAAACTGGATGCCAATGGCATACCTGTCTGACACAAGGCAAGACTCATTGCATGAGGTTTCACACAATGAGAGGGCATCGACTTCGAAGAAACCTTTGCACCAGTAGCACCACTTAGTGCAATAAGAGCCCTGTTGTCACTAGCAGTGGAGCAAGATTGGGAGGTCTGTCATGGGCCTGGATGCTCAAGAAGCAGGAGGGTCACGGGTTCATATGGAAGGAGCACAGGTATCAAAGATCTAGTCGAGATCAGTAGAGAGCATGGTCATAGTGCAGTCTCCATGGAGACCATGGACTCCTATGGACTCACATGCAAAGGAGGACTGAGCCCATATGTGAGGAGGGCCAGGCACAGCCATGAAGAGGACCAAGCTCAAGGAGCATGCAGATGGTTACCACTCAGGGGCTCAAGAGACAAGAGTCAATGGAACTGTCACCAGTCAAAGGAGAAGGAGCAGTGTATAGGGAACTGGCAAGCAGGTCCTGAGGAGGAGGAGCAGTGTCGAAGGAGTCGACACCACTCAGGAGGCACAAGGGTGCCAAACAAGCAGGATAGCAAGGAGGAGGAGCAGTGTCAAAGGAGTTGACACAGCTCAAGAGGCACAGGGGTGCCAAGCAAGCAGGAGAGGCCCCCTGAACAGTACTCGATAAAGAAGGTACTCTCTGGAGAGAGAGAGCAGGAGGGGCGTTGCTGGCAACACTTTGAAGAGGTATATAACCATGCTTTCTCATCATCAAAGGTTGAGTGGATCCTCATCCACTCTACACACATCATAACTAGTTATCACTTCAGCATAAGTATATATTAGTTTCAGTCAGCATAGCAGCAATCTATCAAGGTTGCTCCTCATTGTAGTGCATGTGTTGTATCACCACTACCTGATGTCCGAAGGCGGTTCATAGCAAACCAGCAGTCCAGATATAGATAGAACCAAAGGCAGTAGTCCACTGTGGTCTGGGGATCACTTCAAGCATCAAGTCAACACACTGGACACTCATGTTGACACCACCAACCTTATCACCAACACCATCAACCTCATCATCAGCAACACTCACACCAGACCTTGGTGTCATCATAACCGAAGCATTGATATTGATCGTGCTGAGCTACCCCTGAATGGAGTGTCCACAGAGGTCAGCCGAAACCTATGATAGTATATACAACAAATGCCACCTGCTGTCATCGCACAACTTGATAGTCACCAAATGACTAGCTCATCGAGACTGATACTGAGACAATAGCTGTCACACAACTTGATAGTCACCAAGTATCTCAACAGACTGGCCTAGGTTTCAGGCGCGAGACCCCTGACATTAGAGTGGATGGTTCAAACAGCTCCTCACAATCACCATGATGGACCCAGACCTCAACAATAAGCTTGATAGACTACTCACTCTATTGGAAGCCCAGCTAGAGCTTACCAGGCAGGGTCAATGAGAGGAACAATTACAACAAGCTCATCTGAGCAGGGAGGAGACGATTGACCTCTCTCACTCAGAAGACCAAGCAGGAGGAGGAGATGAGTCTATGATAGGAGACCCACATACTCCTACTCCAGCTCCATGACCAAGATGATCAGTCTCATTCGTCAACCTGGATGAGCAGGATGATGTCAACTATGAGAAGTACACTTCACCCACTGGGCCAAGATATGTCAAGTCCAGGGTGGATCCATACCACAAGAGCAGGACAGAACACTATGCTCTTGATCAGGAGGAGGACTCTAGCATCATGGCAGAGCTTAACTGGTCAAAGCCCATTGCCACCCCCTTTCCAAAGTTCAATCCCTGAGATGTGGAGATCTTCATTCTAGAAGCCAAAGCATGGTTTAAGTTCAACCAGGTGT